AGTACAACAACTTGTCTTTTACCTTGGAGGGAATATGTTGATATACTTTAGATTATTGAACACACCCAGAAACCTCACTAAGGTGAAAGATCCCTGAATTTTTGTTGGGAGTGTCTGCCACTCTCTTGATTCACATGTCTTACTAAAGCATCTAAAGTGCTTGTTGCTTCCTGCTCCTCAGATTCATTCAGCATAATGTCATCAATGTAGTGGACCATTGAGATGTTTTGTGGAATGTCAAGACGATCAGAATCTCTGGACTATATTGTGGCAGAGAACAGGAGAGTTGAAATAGCCCTGAGACAAGGCTTTGAAGGTGTACTCAGGTACAAGCCAGGTAAAAGCAAATTGCTTCTGGTGGTCCTCACAAGTTGGTATGGAAGAAAAAGCATTAATTGGGGCAATAGCTACATACCAAATGCTAGGGGCTATGTTAATTTGTTCAGTAAAGTTACTATGTCTGGAAAAGCAGCTTCAATTGGAGTCACCACCTGATTAAATTTATTATCCACAGTTATTATCTAAAATCCATCTGACTTCAGCACAGACTCAACAGGGAAATTTACACGGTAATGTGACAGGTATCCCCACCTGTGCATATTTCAAGTCTTTGGTGGTGTTACTGATTTTGCAATTCTCAGGCTTGAGGTTTTGCTTCTGGTTTACTGTCTTAGTAGCAAGGGGAACTTCCAGGGGCTTCCACTTAGTTCTTCCTATCGTAATAACCCCTACCCCATAGATTATAGAGATAGAGTGGAGGAGCCTACCAGTTGCCAAGTATATCTATTCCAATTCAGGAATTGTGTGGGATCCACAAACCACCTGGGCCCACTGTGATTCAGACTTGGCCTATGACTTCATTGTCACCACATGCTCCCACTTTGGTAAACAGCAGCAGCATTTTGTATTCCCAAGAATTAGTATCAATTCAGGGCCTTTGTCTAGTAATCCCTGCAAATTTGGATATTTCCTTTTCCCCACTTTGCAATCATTTTAGTAAGTGGCCACAGATTTCGCATTGTATACTTGTGGCAGTGCTACAGGATTCTTCCTCAGGGGGACCAGGCCTTTCCTTTAAACAAGGGGCTGTGAGCATATGAATCAGCTTAGGTCTGAAAACTGGTTGAGTACCTGTGATTCTCCATTGTGGTGATTTAAGTAAGGTTTTTAGCTACCATGTCTGGAGTTTTTGTCTTATATGAATCAAACATTAAACTAGTAGTCTACCCATCTATTTTATTCCTACAGAAATCATAATTACTTGGCCACCAACAGAAATCCCTACAGGCCAAAATATGCTAATTACCAGTACATCCCTGCTGCGCTTTTCTGTAAAAGCATCTACCTTGTCTTTAGTGGTTAAGTGCTGTTACTTCTGCTTCCCTGGTATTATCACTTTTGAATCAGGGAACCCATATCAAGTCATGTCTCCTGTGGTCATTCCTGACTTACATAGGAGAACAATCACAAAGCTTTTCAAGATGCAGATGGTGGGCTGGCTGGTTAGCTCAGTCAGTTAGAGAGTGATGTTATAACACCAAAGTCAAGGGTTTGGATCCCCATACTGGCCAGCTGCCAAAAAACTCAAAAAAAAACAAACAAAAACCCCAAAACACACACACATACACACACACACAAGATGCAGATGTTGCCACTAATTAATGTATTTTTCAATCCCTTCATGAAGGGACTGTTTTCTAGATTTCTTGAGGGATATAGTTGGTGGGCAGGTGGGTATGCAGGTTGCATATGAAAAATCTACTCCGACACTCTCACCTTCCTAAGCTTTTGGATTTCTTCCTCTATGTCAGGGGTCAGCCTATGGATCAAATCCAGCCTCCTGATTTTGTAAACAAAGTTTTGTTGGATCACAGCCATGCCCATTCATTTATGTATTGTCTAGGGCTGCTTTACCACTATAATAGCAGAGTTAAGTAGTTGTGACAGGCACCATATGGCCTGCAAAGCTGAAAATATTTACTATCTGATCCTTTAAGAAAAAGTATGCCAATCTCTGCCCTTAAGCATGCTGAGATTTGACCTAAGTTGTGGGTTTAGTGACAGCAAAGGAGTTGGTTGTGGTGGTTCCTCAGAAAGAAGAGCATCCCCTCACAAGGCAGCTGCACCAGGTCAGACTTCTCAGACACAAAAAGCAAGCTATTTGCACTGGCAAGTGAGGCTCAGAATAACACAAGTTCAAGATTCTCGGCAGCTTTGTCTAAGTCCAAACAGATGTCCCATTCCAGATTTCAGAGTTCCTCATGAATGCCCTAACTTTTACATAAGAAACTAGGTGAAGCTGTCAATTCAACTGAAATTGTAAATTTGCAACCCACATAATTAAATTTGTGTTTAATTTTTAACAATATTATCTTTTTGGCTATAAGATGTCAGAGATTCTTTTAGGTTTGTCATGGAAGCTTTCTCTATTCAGACAACAGCTCATACAAGAGAGTTTAAGGACCTAAGCTTATTACTTCTTTCTATAAATGCTCCATGTTCTCAGCAGAATCTATTACACAACATGGTCCTGTAACCATCATTGTAATGGTTAAGGACAATAGCCTCTTAGGCTACCAAGGCACTTACTTGAGTAGACACCTTATCACAATCAAAGCAGGATTAATTGTGATTCCAGTGCATACTTGGATTACTAGCATACCATTTCCCGTTGGCAAGGACTCAGCCCTGTGTTCAAGCCCAAAGGCATGACGAACCTAATTCCAAAAATCCCATCTTTAATGCTCTGTCTCTTGGGACCACTTCAGTACTAATTTCATATCAGTCAAGGGACAGAAACCACCCTGATAATTTGAACAAGGAAAATTTAATATGAAGTGTTAACTAGTAAAAAGTAGTTAACTATTAAAAGGCATAAAAGTGGATTCTAAGGGGTTGAGAAGTAGCAACTACAGAAAGCAGCTGCTACCCATAGAGCTAATGAGCAGTGAACAAGGAATGAACTTAAAGGATGGATTCTTCCCTACTTCCCCAGGTGGAATTTCAGATCTCTTTGGAGAGGGTATGGATGCCACAGGAACACACAACCTGCCAGTGCTAAAGAAATTTGCGAGAGGGCATGGGCTACAGCTAATCTAGGAAATTCTCTGCTGTGGTGGCAGAGAATCCTCTCTTCCCATTGATCCACAGGCTCTGGCATACTAGAAGTGTGCTTTGGCCCTGCAGTGTCTCTCCAGTACCTCTTCTGGCGACAGTAAGTCAGCTAGCAAAGGAAAAGTGTCTACAGGATGCAGTTCCAGTATCATATGGTGGGAAAAAGAAAGGTGAATTTGAAGCTGAGGGCAATTAATAGCAAGCTCTTATCCAATTTTATGGCTGTAACTCCCATCTGTATGCTCCTGCCTCCCATATTTATGTCTCTAGCCTGTTCTCTCTTGAGCTCCAGAGAAGTATTAATATATCAGACCAGCTCCTTCATGTCTTCACTTGAATTTCTCATAGGCATCCTTAACTTAATGGGTACAGAACTAAACACTTGTACCTCCTCTGGTTTCTCCCACCTCAGTAAGTGGCATCACCATTCAAGCAAAAGCCTTGACTTTTATCTTTTTCTCTTACTCCACACACAGTTGGTCAAAGGCCTGCTAGCGCTGTCTCTGAAATATATCCAAATGGCACCACTTCTCATCACTTCTGCTCTGCCACCCTGTTCCAAGTCATCACCATCTCTTGACTCTCAAATCTCAGAAATTACATCTTAGATTTCTTTATTACCAATGCATGTTTGATAATTAAATGATTACTTGTTCTCAGCTTATTCTGTAACTTTTCTTTCTGTAACAGCTACACTCCACCCCTCCCTTATCAGATTTCATGAGAGATACCAAAAGCCTTAGGGCTTTTGAATAGAGATGCCTGCTGCATCTCTTGCTGCCAGGGTAAACCCATTTTTTGTGTGTTTACCAATGCAGCACTAACTCTTATTTATTAAAATAAATATGAACATTATTAATAATAAAATTAATGATATTAATATCATTTCTTCATATGTGGTTTTGAAACTTAGATCTTCCTAGCTTAAACTAATAATTGCCTATAGTCAGATTTTTAAAATATTTTAAAGCATTTTTATAAAGATGGCCTTATTTCTTAAAGTTCCGATTTGTTGGATAGAAGCTACAAAGGCAGCACCCCCTACTCCCCCAAAAAATCTTCCACATGTCATTGTCTTTTTTTTTTTTTTTTTTTTTTTTTTTTTTTTTTTTTTTTTTTTTTTTTTTTTT